CATTAAGATTCCTGATTTTAGGATTGGGAAAGCATTCAGTATTTCTCAATACAATTTATCATTCTTAATTACAATAACCTAGCTAGATCATGAAGAACCTTTAAACAGAATTATGGCTTAAATATTGCAATTTTTTAGTTCTAATTTCTTTCCTCCCTTCTGGCTGATGATATCTCCTTTTGAAAAGGTTATATTTCTTTATTACAGAAATATTTTCAAGGCTTTCCTCATCAAACTTCTTTGTTTCAATTAGGAAAAAAAGAATTGTTGCTCAGTTTCCAGCATAGATTTAATGACACAAAGAAAAATGTGCCTAGAAATAATTACAGAGACAAGTCATAAATTAGCAGTCACGCCAATTCTCAGGGCATGCTACAAAAACAAATACAGTTACACAGGGAATGTATGATTATTCCAAGTGAGTGCTGTATTTTCAGCTAAATGTTTTTGCATCTGTACTCAACAACAGTGAAATGAACAAACAACCCCCAAAGTAATCAGTCACTGTCAGTGCTTTCACTCTGGCTTTTTATATGGAATGAGCTAACTACTTGTTTTTTCAAACCTCGATGTCTGAAATTACATCCCTAATTTCACAGGTTTTATTTGCAGAGGTATTAAAGTCTTACTAGTCTCATTGACATTTCTGTTAACATGGAGAATAAAGCAGATTTTTCCATAGAAATTAGGTAGGCACATATGGGAAAAACATCCCAGGGTATGTATTATTGCTGACATTGGCAATTAAATGTGAAATGCTGCAAACCCCTCACATTAGAATTATTCATTATGATATATAGTGTTTAAGAGATGCAAATCATAATTAGAAAGTGCACAGAAATAAATGAATACATAATTTAAAAATAACTCATGAGCTCTTTATCCGCAGTCTGGACCATTGAAAAACAAAGAGGGTTCAATGGTTCCACTTTGGATAAGGATGTCTTCTACTTTTACAGAGGGAGACACCATTTGTAATGGACTGTCTCACATCCTTGCATAGAGATGGGGCCACAACATGCAGGGGCACATTGTTTCTGAGGCAGCACAGTGCCTTAGGATGGAGGGGCTTTTATAATTAATAAGAATATATAAGGAGATTTAAAGATTTGAAGATTGTTCCATCTAGACTGTGCTGTCTAGAAGTAAAGGATGGCACATCACTGAAAAATACAGTTTTTCAGAAAGCCAACATAATCACTTTGACAGTTGACCTTATTTCAATATATTTCACGTGCTTTTTTGCTCTTTTCTTTTGCACAAATCCTGAAGAAACAAGGTTTGTAAGAGAGCTATGGAAGAGCTTGAGAATAATAGGGCTCAAGAAACACTCAGAGAATGAAATGTTGATTTTTTTTACAAGAAAGCTTAGGCACATCACAGGGGTAGGGGAGGGAGACCTTCCATGTAACGTGAGTTTGGGGTAAGCAAATACAGCCCCATATACCTGGTAAGTCAGAGTCAGTCCTCTTTTACCTGTCCTCTCTATTGCTATCAGAAGTACTTTACTCCCAACAAGCTCAACCTCTTCCTTAGATGGTCTCTGTGGAGGCTGTAAATACCCATACATTCGCTTGCTGTTGTCTTGCAAGCAGTTCTCTACTTTTTGCGTGGTTTAATATTCTCAGTCTCAGTACAGTCTCTATTGTTTAACCGAAATTAACTTCCTCTAAAACCTGTGATTTCTTTTTTTAAATGTTTACAAACTCATTCAGTAAACATGATGTATTTTTCAGTTTAACATGATATCATCACATTCTAATTTAAACCTGAAAAGAGCTATAATCCTCATAAAGAACACATCACTGTGATATGAATTTTTAATAGTAATTATCTACAAAAATGGACTTTGATATTGAACTATTTAAATGGTTGTCCTGAACACATAAGAAAATACTAGATTTGATGTTCCACTTAGCGTTATATTACTTGGAAAAACATACACAAGACTTTTAGCTGATTAGCTTAGAAGTGCCATCTTCTTGTATTTTGCTGGCATATTTTTACTTTTACAATCATTAAACATGTTGTCTCCTTGTCCCACAGTATTGCTAGAACAGAGCTCCAGAAACACAGACTTACACTTCCTGAGATACTGTTGAAAGCTAATGTACAGGCTAAGTGGAAATATATGCAACAATATCTAAATATAAACCATTAGCCTGATAGGAAACACTCAGTTCCTTTGGAAGCACCAGGCTTCAACTCTGATATGTGTGGGACTGCAAAAGATTGGATTGTCTTCATTATAGCTTGTTAGCTCAAGTTCACAAGCACTAGGACGCAGCTTTTAGCATCATGCAAGGAATCAGTATCAGGGTTAAATAAGAACTCAGTCAAGTAGTCAAGATAATGTCACATATATGTCACATACCTCGTCACCATTGCACTGTCTTATTTGTTCCGCAGTAACAGATAATCGAATCATTGTGCTGGACTGCACTATAGATTAAGTTCATGCAGATGCAGTTTTCAAAGGCCTTTGTGCTGTCAGTGGGAAAGTGTCATTAATATCAAAAGTAGCATGAAGCCAAAACCCCATCACAGGCCAGGGTCTGCTGACAAGAAAAATGTCAAAAAAACAGCTCTTGAATTGAGGAACTTAAAGTCCAAATAAACAAGAGTCCACCTTTACATGAAAGTAAATGAAACTGCTAGAAATTGCCTGTATATCACAAGCAAGAAAGGACTGCACCATGGTAAGTGCAGGATGTATTACACTTTACACTGACCCCAACTGTGCATAGGCCACTGTATGGTGTTGTCCCATGTTGGTTAGGGCAGCTGGGCTCAGAGATCACTAGAAAGAGGAAAAACAGCAAAATTATGTTTGTGGAGAATAAGTAACAGAAGTCAAGCTACAAACTTAGGAGTTTATTGTTACTTGTCATTGTTAGATTTGTGTTGCTTCATGGTCAGAACACAAACAAGTACTTTGACTTTTTTGTACCTCAGATTCCTTGCAACTCATGGGGAGCATTCATAGTTCTGCTTGCCTAAAACACCACAGTGCCATTCCTCAAGACTTGGCTTTTTGCTATCCATTTTCCAGCATATCAATTCTGAACGTACTTGTTAGCTTGATGCTAGAATTCTTGACCTATGGAGAAAACATAGCCCCCCTGAGTTGAGCAGTTTACTCATGACATCTCAGTATTTGTTAGCATCTCAGTATTTGTCAAATAATAATAAAAAAAAGAATTCACCAAACCCCTCCACACCTATCTCAACAAGGACATGCATGACAGAAAGCCCTGTCAGAAAGTTACCAATGGGTAACTTTCTTGTACTTCAAAACTACAAGAAATTTTTTAAATTCAAGAGGGATGACTTTTATTTTGATAACAAAACCAACCAAACAAAAAAACCCAACTGATAAAGATTCCTACTATTAACGGAACAAAATATTTTAAAGACTTTTGGAATACTAATTGCACTGAGTACCTTCTGATAAAATTTCTGATAAATATTCTTTTTCCCCTTGGCTATATCATAGCATTTAGAGCTTTATTTTGTATCTCTCCTTTAAAAAAAACCAATTCTCCAATGCAGGTTTCATTGAGCATTTGCATTATTTAAGGACAAGGTGTTTAAGTGTTCTTAATTACCTCCAAAACATGTTTGATGAACCTGTGAAAATTAAGCAAAAAAAAAAACCAAGAGAACCAGACATATGTGGAAAATAAATCACCAATTACCTTAACACTGCATTTTAGTGTTATCAAACAATAGAATATAGAATGTTTGAGACTAGATCTTTTGCATGTTTAAAAGTCCAGAAAAAAAACCCTTTAAATAAAAATTTCTTCTTTTGCTGCAGATTTCTTCAGATGGCTTTCAGTATTTCCTGAAAGAGACATTGCCGAGAGAAATTATTTCAAGAAACATATTGACTTCTCCCAATTATTTTAATATCACAGAACGGGTGAGGCTGGATGGGACCACAGTGGGTCATCTGGTCCAACTTCCCAATATAATGAAGAAGAAATTTGAATGGCAAAAACTATTTCTACAACAAAAGGGCTAGCATTCCACACAGATTATCAGGAGATGAGTGTACTCAGTACTTACTGTGATGCCATAAACAGCAGTAGCATCTTCAGTACACTGCTATCCTTTGGATGCACTGACCTTTCCACATCGTTAAAAAACTTCATAGAAAATGGTCTTTAATGAAAAACTGACATGATAACATTCAAAACATGCAAACACTACATTTGGGAGAAAACCATCTAGTGAGTTCTTCTGGTGTCTAGTTGGCATTATTATTTGAGGTGTTCCCCCATGGCATCTTGGAACAAACCACTTAGAATCACTGAAGCAATTGCACTGTCTCTGCACTTCATTGTGAGCTGGTAAATAACTAAAGCTCATTTCATATACCAGCAACATGCAGCACAGATCTTGAATTTTGCCAGCTACACTGAAATAACATTTAGTCCTCCAGCTATTTTAAATCAAATTATTTATGAAGGAGAATTACTGGAAATCAAATCCAGCTACAACTCCAGGAACAGCACAAAAAAAATTATATTTTAGATTGTGATAACCTGTTTGCTTCACTGTGGTCAATGTGTTTAAAAACATATAGGGGAGAAGACAGTACTAACTATGTGAGAGATCTAGAGCAAGTTGGTTCTAAAGGCTGAACTCCACTTATATGGGGATATGATATGAGCAAAGGCTCAAAAATTATACACCACATTTTTCCAGTGCAAATGCTGATCTGAAAGAGAATGATGAATATGCAGCCAAAACTAGTCTATTGCATACTGTTTGAATATGCAGTTCTGAAAATATCTTTGAAGAAACCACTCTGTAAAGATACACAGGTAACACATGCATCTTAGAATCTCAAATAAGAAGTCCTGATAATGACCTGCTTACTGTTACAACTGACTTTTGACTAGACAGTAGCTGTAAATTGAACCCTTCAAGTAAAATGTTTGCAAAGATCAAGGGAAGTAAGTATTGCTGATATCTCTCTGCCTTGCTTACAGATGAACTCCTGAAGGAAACACCTTTCCCACTAAATTCCACTTCTGTTATGGAGCCATTTTCCTTCCCAGGCTGGTTAAATGATCATCGTGGTGAAATAAAACAGAAGAAATCCTTGAGTATGTTTGGAGATAATTTTGAAACAGAGGTAGGGTGGTCTAATTTCTCTACAAAGAGAGGAATATTTTTAAAGGTACAGATAATACATACCTGCTGTCCAGACCAAGTGAATCCAGGCCTGAGAACAATATATAGTCAGCAGAGAAAGTTATGCACCCTGACAGAACTCAGTTTTAGTCTGCCCTGCCCTTCAGAAACACCTTTGTCCATTGCTTTGATTAGCTTAGGGCAAGGGCTTCCTAGCTCATTACTTCCATTCACAGAATCAACCTGAATCTTGTTTCTAATAATTTCCTTTGGGATTAAAACAGCTCCTTTACTCCATTCCTCCCCACCCCGCACCATATTTCCCAAATCAGAAGCACCAGCATGATGCAAACATTACTGAAGTGTGTTCAGCTTCCCTACGTGTTTGAAGAGCATTCATGGTGCCAAAGTCTAATACAGGTGTGTAAACACACTTTTTTTTCTCCCCCTCAATCTACATTAAAGTGGAAACAAGGAAAACTTGAGAGCACCAGAAAGCCTGGGCTGCACTAAAACATTGCACTTCTCAGATTAGTCAAACACAGTCTAGTGTGGGTCTAAATGAAGCTGTCACCATTTGATATCTGTGCTGTATGCATGTTGTTTACAAAACATATTCTTCCCCTTAATTACTTGGAGTCACACTGGAGAATCCAATACATATGATAGCAAAGTGACAATGTGGGACTGTCATGAAAGGGCAGATAATGAGAAAGATAAAGTCTGGTTTTCAGCTTTTTTTATTTAACAGAGGAAACTTTCCTACTTCAACAGGCTCTTGACAGGTCCCAGAGTTCATGAGGAGGAAGTACTTGTTCCAAGAACAGAAGCAGGAACCATGTAGATGCAAAACTGAGAGTAGGAGGAAGCAGAAGGAATAGATAAGCGAGGATGCAGAGGAGCATAAGGAGTGGCAGGTGTGATCAGTTCCCTTTTTATCAGTAGGAATCAATATGAGAATACCAAACATAGTGTGAATTTTAATGTCTGTAAAAATAACGTCATCTTCTATGAATATTGTCCTGTAAAAATAGAATGTATTAAATGCTCTTGGAAGATGAATATGGACACTTTGGTCACTGGGATAAATCCATTACTTTTCTTCCTTTTTTTTAAAGGTTATAGCTTATGGACCAGGAACAACTGAGAAAAGTAAAAAGAATTCAGATATCTGGATATGGCAGCTGGTATGTGGCAATTCATGCTTGTTAACTGATGAGTTCATGTTTCAGTTCAGGCTGAACAGTAGTAAAACCTTCTAGCAACAGAAACTGGAACAATTACCTTCCTTCTTGTAGATAAGATCACCCATAGGCACTGCCTTTCAGCTTTAAACTGTAAGGAAAAATAACTAAAGTACTGCCACCATAAAAACAGCCTTTTTTTCCTCATCTTGTACATTGAGGACTAGCATCTATCCTTGAGGATTTTAATACACCCTACCTAGGATATGTCCTGTAAATATATCAGAATACCTCTAGGTGATAAGACAACATCACCTATTAGTTCTGCCTTGAAACCTTTGTCCTCATACTGAAGTCAAACTGGAATCAAGTAGAATAAGCTAATAAAAAAAGTCTGAGAACTTGTTTATACTAAATCACAGTGGTAGGTGATCCACAGTGTGTCCTTCATTCAACTGACTTCTAGAAAACTTTTGCAACCCAAGGGAAAAACAAAGAAAAGATAGTTTTTGCTTACACAAGTCAGGCTAGCTTGAGAGGCAGGTATTTCTATCAGTTCCTGTTCTGTTGAAATTCACAGGGACTATCAAATACTAATTAAAGACATAATAATCTTGAAAGACATTTGTTTACACTGCAGTTTACAGCAGCCAATGCAGTCAAGACCTTGTGGCTGGCAAGTACCTGGCTCCTCTGTTTGACAAGATAATAACTAGTTCATTCCAGTCTGGATGGACTTATATTAGCAATTTCAGTCAGGTCTCCACTTTTTAAGACTTAGAAAAATATCAGAAAAGTAGAAGAGGAGCTTCAAGTACTCCAGAAGATTCTCTCTGTGATATATGGGGCTGTACCAATCTGCAGGCTGCTAGGTTAGATAGATAACAGTGTACCCCAAGAATCAGGCAACAGGTTGCTGCTTTACAATAGGGAACAGTGAACCATGAAGCATGTTTTTATTGATGCTAATAGTGTTGGACAGGGAAGGTCAACTGAATATTTAGCTAGGCCTCATGAAACAGAGCAGGCTTGAGGTGCTCTTTCAGTGGGAAAGATTTCCATTCTTGCAGCATTTTCTTTCTGCTAGTGACAGGACATGGAAAATTAAAAGCTGGTTACCTGTTCTTTCTCTTCAGGAGGGCACCTCAACTGTTACCATGGATGGTAAGACCCTGACTCTATCTGCTGGTGACAGCCTGCTTGTTCGTGCCCAGTCTACGTGAGTAGAGATGAACAGTGATTCAATGCATGATTTCCCAGCTTCCAGCAACATAAATTCTATGTATTCAACCCTCACCAGGCTGGGCATCACTGGTGCAGAAATATTCACAGAAATCTGTGAATGCAGGATTTGCAATAGTCTCCATTATTCCTCAGGGCAAAAGTGTTTTCAGGAGGAAAAGCCAGACATTCATTCTAGTTCACCTCTTATGATTAAAGCTGGGGAAAATATAAAAGCTAAGCACTACCAAGAAAATCAGCATGCAAAAGACCATGCATAAACATAGATGGCATGAATAGACAAATTGGCGCTCACAGCAGATCCTTTCAGCATCAGACCAGGCTTAATCAACATCAGTGCAGGAAGATTTGGGGTTCAGGCTAACACAGCTCTCTCCCTGGAGTAGGATGCATACAGCTGTTTTATAATCATGATACACATAAAGGGAAAAGACAGTGAAAATAGCTTCCCGAAAGAACAGAAAGGAAGATGTGGAAAGTGGCAGAAGCTGATAAAGTACCCAGCATGAAGATGAAGGATGATTTATACTCACTGCAGCAGGTCATAGGCAAACGATAAAAATGGCCTTCTTTCCTACAGGAAAAATCTAATAAATAGTAGTGCTGACTTCTGCACCTTTTGTAAAGCCCTGAAAACATTTACTCAAAGAGCTGAGACCATTCAACAGTACACAGAACTATTCTCTGCACCTGTGATTCCAACTTGCAACCATATCTTCCCTTCACCATTACTTCCATCACTTCAGTAAAATCACTTAAATTAATTCCCAGCCCTGCAGCCCCATCAGTGAGCATGTGTTTTCAAAGTCATGGCACAATGCACATGCACAGTTCAAATGGCATTAAGACATTTATCAGACTTGTACAGCAGACACCTTTTACTGCATGAACGCTGACTGATCTCTGTCCCACTCTGTAACTGGCACAGATTCAGTTAATACAAGTGATGACCACAGGAAAAAAAAACACTATTAAATTTGTAGACACTAATCTCATTACAATAACAACGGTACTGAGGTGATTCTCTTCCAATCATGTCACTGAGATTAGAGATGCCTTCCTCATTGGTTCATCCATAAGTAGATAAATATTCTTCCTCACCATTTCATGATGTTCAACTTATATTAGTGATGGGGAAGAGTTATTCCCTGAAATATCACAAGATATACCAATATGGAATGAAAAAAAAATGCAATCAGAACAGAACCTGCTTGTTTTCCCCTCCTTTTCAGTAGCATCAACATTTTAGTTGATGGTTGACTGCGTAGTTCCCCTCCATACACATGGGATCATCTCTCTCTTCATTCTTGCAGGTATAGCTGGAAAAGAACAGAAGAATGCATTGCTCTCTGCATCGCTCAGGATCCAAAACGCAAGCAGCCTTATACCTAGCTCCTGTGTCAGTTGACTTTGATGATAACTAAGTTTTAACCTACTTTAGTCTTAAAGATCTTTTAGGCAGAATTTCTGGAAATTTCAAGTCTAACACAATGCTTAAACTGAATTAAGTGGAGTCAAGTGCTGTGCCCAGTTAAAATCTTTTCCCCCAAATAAGGTTTTAGCAAAATTTACAATCACTAATTTTTTTTAAGAACTACTGTTCTGTTGGGTTTTATCTGAAAGGAAATTAAAACAGGTCCAAGTAGTATCATATATGTTATTAGATAAGTAATCCTGCTATCTAGAAGAAGTTAGAGGCTTTTCAAATGCAAGTCTCTACCACAAGATGTAGAAAAGGAGATGGGATTGATACTATTATACCTACTTAGGTAGAAGTCTTCATTTTGTCATTTGTTATAGATTAGCTACAAGATTTGTTACCCAGCCTACAGTAGGGGAGCTTTAATTGACAGTAGTTCACAGATCTTCTGAGATCCTTTGCTAAAAGTTTGGCTCATTTTTTTAAAGATCCTATCTGCTGCACTGCTTGAGGATCTCAGTGCTTTGTGAAAGAGAGGAAGGTGCATCAGTGAAGGGGGAAGCAGTACCTGGAACATCAGGCATTAGTTAGACCATCACCGTACTTGCTTCAGGTGGAACTTATTAGCAGTTTACCAAATCCAGCAATGCATTGTCAAGCACAGCAGCACACCACACATACCATGCTGGATGCTGTGGATACACTACACTATCGAGAACATAGCACTGCAATAGGACCAACACTGGAGCTTCTGGGTCATGGGTGTGTTCCTGTGCAGCAGAAATCTCAAGCCAAAGTAGCCTTAAGAAGTGTGTTAGGGGAATAAAAGAGCAGAAAAATTGTTGTAATCAATTTCCATTAACTGCTGCTGCTGCTTTTTCAACAATGAGGCTTCTTGCAGAAATAATAAATATCAAATTATTTTTTCCTGCTTTTATTCCAGGAACTCTCCAGAGGGATTTTTGTTTGGTTTGGGGTTTGGATTTTTTTAATTGTCCTTCACATTTTTAAGGTCAGAAAACAAGTTGCTTACCAATTACACATTTGAGAAAGTAAAATAGTTATCATTTCTTTATTTTTTTTAAATTCTAATTAAGTTCAGAAAAATAGTTCTTTATCACCTACAAAGCTCATTAAACTGAAACGTCATATGTGTCTTTTTCAAGTGTTCATTCTTCTGATGAGAAAGACTCAGATGGTTTGGCTTATACTTAATATCAGTAGCTTTTCTAGCAAAGCATACAGCAAAACTTTGCTACATCCTCCTAATAACAGGAGATCTACTTTGAGAAATTGAACCGTGTCTTAAGGCTATTATAGGTGTGAGCTATCACACACAAAAAGGAGCTATTACATTCCCTCTGAACAAGGGAGTAATTTTTCTGATTACCATTGGTATTGGTGTGCCTAAGTGCAGGCAGAATTGAGTACTCCTCAAGTGATCATCTATGATTGAGGTACCTGGGATAACAAAGTGTTATACTTTTAGTCCACCAATTAGAGGGTAACCACAGAATTATTTCCATATTTCACACTGAATAAGTGAATAAAACACAGCCACATGTAGAATGACATCCAGAATAGTCAACAGCTCTTCATCCACCCAGAAGCACTGAGCAGTATGGAACTTTTGGAATAAAAATAAAGCGCCTCTAGATTAGATACTTCCCATGATATAAAATTAAGGCTCCATTCAAAGTGTATTTGTGATGAAGTCCTTTTATAACAACTTGTACTTGAACATCTAAATTCTATTCAAGTCCCATTGTAGGTGTCCTAAATCATAGCAAGAACCAGAGCAGGAGCATTAAGCCAGACCTCCATCACCCACAGTTTTGCCACAGCCTGCCATCAGAAACCAGGACTGAGCATGTCATGAACGAACTTCTATTGAGGGCCTGCTATCATCTAAAAACTAGGTAAGATGTGTTAAGCCCCATAAATATGCCAAAGAATCAGGATCAAACCATCATGAAGTACCAGGAGAAGAGCATTTTGTCTTCTAGCATCTCTTGATGATTACTTCAGTTGTTTTCATGTCCCATTCCCTCACCACCCACCCTCACTTCTCCAATTCAATACTTATTTGTAGCCAGAGCACAAATGAGAGCATAGATAAAACTTGTCATTTACTCCTTTAAAGGTGCTTAACCTCTGTGATTCAGAAACCTGCAACTTCCCTTTTCCAAGTCTTCAGATAGGTCCAGAGAGCTCCTCGTCAGTCACTGCATCTTTTTTAGGTGCTTCCTGAATTTTATGTCTGTTGTAAACTGCCCAAACAATGGTACATTTATAAATAGATATACCCATGCTCCTCTGCTTACATGGAAGTTGGCCATGTGCAAGTCTATTTCTGGAATCCTTTTAGCTGTTAGGTGCTCTTTCTGTGTATGTGCAGTCACCTCAGTAGATGACTTCAGCACCAAAGTTGCTGGGATCAAGGTCTGGAGACTTCATTGCTAATCTTGTCTCAAAGAAGGATTTCACGCTAAGGTCAGTGGCAAAGGCTTAGTTAGGCATGCTGTTTGCAGAGTACCCTAATGCGCTGCTATTGATATTGTGCTTGTTCTTGCATGTCCATGAAACACACCTGCACAAAACCATGCCCTACAGAATCATTTATGGTTGAAAAGACCTCCAAGATCATAAAGTCCAGCCTTTGACCAATTACCACCTTGTCAACTCAAACATGGCACTTAGTGTCACATCCAATCATTTCTTGAACATCTCCAGGAATGGTGATTCCACCACCTCCCCGGGCAGCCCGTTCCAATGCTTAAGCCTTTCTGTGAAGAAATTTTTCCTGATGTCCAACCTGAATCTCCCCTGGAGCAGCTTGTCCTCTTATCCTATTGCTAGTTGCCTGGGAGAAGAGGATGACCTCCTTTCAGGCAGCTTTGGAAGGTCTCTCCGAGCCTCCTTTTCTCCAGGCTAAACAATCTCAGCCACTCCTCATATGACTTACACATAACACACTTCATATGATTTTTGCATCTACTTGACTGTTTTTCTTTACAGCTCTTCCCACATAAGGTACATCTGCACCCTATTTTGGATACTCATTTTCTATCTGAATCATACAGATATCGGGACACCTCATACTTAAACTTAGTACATTTTGTAAGGATTGTGCTAACCTTACTAGCACAGTATTGCATAGACAGTCCATCTGCTGCTGTTTCTCCAAGACTCAAAAGCTAAACCTTTATAAAAACATATATTCTAAGAAGTATTACAATAAAGCCTACGCAGATATGAAGCCATACCTGCACCATACTTTGTAAATTAATTATTACCTTTAAACACATGCAGGATTGTCCAGAATCACAAGCTCGAGCTGACTTGGAAGCTTAAAAATGCATACAAAGGTGTTTGAATCTACCTACAAGCATCCACAGTTATTCCAAGGCTGAATCTCACTGATTCTAGAAGTTGCAGTAATTTTCCCCTTCACTTTAAATGGAAAAAGGTGATGCAGCCCAATCCTGCCAGTTGTTGATTAAAGTAGCAAGAGATACTTGGTTTTTCAATGCCTTTAAAATATTTAATCCTTATGAAATCACTGGTAAGCTCTGTAAAGAGAAAGCTAAACGACTCCTTTTCAGCTGTGGATAGATTTTTGTTTCTGTTATTATAGCATTTAAATTATATAAAAGAGTGATATAAGCATTATTATAAGTATTTCAAATTGAGCAAGTAACTTACATCTTGCAGTCAGTCTTTCAGTTCATGTAAATCAGCAATATAGATCAAAGATATTTGAAGTCTCCTATTGCCACTAGGCTAGGCAGGCTTGACCCAATAGAGTACTTTTGTTCTTATTTTGAGCTATGCTGACTTACATGAATTATGGAAATAAATTGGTATGTTTCACTGTATTCCTCCTTATTATGGTCTCACATTTTAACATGATTAGCAAGGTTACATTATACATCAGCACCCATTCAAAACAAATAGTACTGCTTGAAGTAACTTAAAAATAATAATCCTGGTACAGTAAATAAAGCTTCAATCTTCACCAGCGCTTTCTATTATCCTGAAATAAGACCTACAAAAAACAAGTTCATGCAAAACATGTATGCTTGTGGTTATGAGAACTACAAAAGAAAACACTGACCTTCACAGATCACGTAGTAAACATATCTGAGATCAACAGCAGAGCACAAGATTGTCCAATTAAAAAACAAGAAACCAAACTAAAAAACACATAACAGTTAAGACAACAATGATCTAATGGTAACTACATTTCAGTTCACAATACATAAATGGACAGCTTATAAAAGTCAGCAGAGGAACCCTTCTGCCGTCGTAGTAAGCTTTTTCCTTGGACCCACATAGCGTTTACTCACACCTGTAAACCAATTTTATTTTACCTCATGAAGATAAATGCTTGCACTGTGACCTTGAGATTAGCTTAGTTGGTTAAAACTTGGTGCTAATAGCACCAAGGTCATGTGTTCGATCGCCTATATGGGCTGGACTCAGTGGTCCATGTGGGTCTTTTCCAACTCAGAATATTATGTGTTGTTAAAACATTTATTGTACTGATTTCAGATCTCCAGCCACATCTAATAGAGCAGATGCAGAAAAAGCAACCTTCCCGCCATCATTGCATATAAGGAAAGAAAGAAAAATTACTTAAACTGTTTAACAAATTCCTACATAACCAGCTTGTGTTCATAATGGACACTTCAGGGCTTTGGATTTTTTTATTTATTTTCCGTTAATAATCTAGAGTGCCCTTGAATGAACACTTCAAACTCATGAAGGTCATCACCTTCTGGTCTGTTTCCAATTGAATACACACATACTTGTAGAGCTGCTCTTCAATATCAAAGTATGCAGAATAACACCTGATTGGACCTAAAGTAAAATGGTTGATTTTGATGTAATAATGAAGAAGACAAAGTTAATATCAGCCCTTCAGCTCAAAGTAAATACTTGACTTAGAGGTCTTAGCACTGTGTGGTACAGAAAGATCTTATGCTAGATCCGGTCAGTAATATTTTTAGTAGTTGTCCAGAAAACGTGGAAGTGCATAAAACCTCTTCCTTTTTATGTCATTAAAATTTTGATTGAAGCTTGACAGCTAGGGTGATGTTTACATGCACACAAAGTCAGATAGTTTGTATTCCAGAAATAAGCCCTGAAATTGTGAAGT